GGGAGCTAAGGTCGTGATCGCAGGAGGCAGCGTGGCGTGGTGGGGTCGTTTGCAGATCCGACCCTCGGTGTGGGCGCAGTTCTGGTCGTTCCAGTACCCGGATGCGCGAGTGTACATGCCGATGCAGTCTTCTTGATCTGGGGGGGGGGGGGGGGTTTTAAAAAGGATGGGGGGGCGGGGGAAGGGAGAGGGTTTAGTGATTTTTGCTGTATATATATATATATTTTTTTTTTCATTTATTATAATTTTTACTCTTTATCAGTTTTGTGTGTAGGAGAGTGTTTTTGTGTGTGTGTGTGAATGTGTTTGTACGTGTATGTGTTCGTGTGCGTGTGCGTGTGCGTGTACTTGTACGTGTGCGTGTGTGTGTATTCGTGTTCTTCTGAGAGTATGTATATTCGCACATCAAACTGATTGCCAGCTACTCTTTCCCCCAGCAAAACATCTCACATCACATCCTTTTCCATTCCTACTCACTCTCCTTGTCTCCAAGCGTCCGAAACCTTACCCAAGAAGTCGTTCGGTTCGCCCTCGGCCCAGTTTATGAAGTCGAAGACGGAGCCATCCAGCCATTCGTAGCTGCTGTCGAGCTTGGACCGCCCGCCGATCCACAGCGTCTGGTCAGTCTTGTTGTAGATCTACGAGGGGAAGGGTGTTAGAAGGTTGGAGGGAAGGGAGGTAGATGGAGAGTTGAGAGAGGGAAGGTGTTAAGAAAAGGGAGAAAGAGAAAAACAGAAAGGAGGTTGGAGTAGGATAGGGTAGAATGGGTGAGCTCTTTCATTCTCTCTATTTATCTGTCTGTCTATCTATCTATCTATCTATCTATCTCCACTCATCTCCTCTCTTCCTTACCGTCGTGGGAGGGAAGGGAAATGGGAGGTAGATGGAGAGTTGAGAGAGGGAAGGTGTTAAGAAAAGGGAGAAAGAGAAAGATAGAAAGGAGGTTGAGGTAGGACAGGGTAGAATGAGTGAGCTCTTTCATTCTCTCCATTTATCTGTCTGTCTGTCTATCTATCTATCTATCTATCTCCACTCATCTCCTCTCTTCCTTACCGTCGTCTCTCCCTTTTCCCATCTTCACCCTTAACTCATTCCAGCCCACCCTAACCCACCCTTCTCCTCTTAGCTTATAGCTCACCCTAACCCACCCTTCCCCCACCTACCTCACCCCCAACATCCTTCCCCAACCCACCTACCAACCCCTCCCCCTAGCCTTCATACCCACTCCGATACCCCAGCTTCCCCAACCCATCCTCCCCTAACCACCCCCCCCTCCTTCCCACAGCCCACCTACCTACGCAACCCATCCGTCCTAACCCAGCCCACCTCCCCAGCGCCACCAACCTACCTTCGACACGATCCAATAGTTTTCCTCGTAGGTGTGAATCGACGCCAACTCCCCCCCTTCCTCTCGACACAGCCTGTGCGAAGTCCACCACGTCTGAGGCGCTTCGTCGGCCTCGGAGATGAACTTGTAGCAGTTGTCGTTGAACAGGAGCCAGGAGCTGTCGTCGTCGCAGGGAACATCCGGGGTCTCGGTGGGCGGGGCTTGGGTCGTCAGCATTGTGCCTGAGGGAGGAAGTTTTTTATTTTTTTCATTTCTTTTTCTTCTCTTTCGTCTTCTTCTTCTATTTCTTCTTCTTCTACTTCTTCTTCGTCTTCTTCTTCTTCTTCTTCTTCTTTCTTTCTGTCTTTCTTTTATTTATTTCTTGCAAGGTACGTATAACCAGCTAGCTCCACTTCCGTTTAGAAGAGTTTAATTCCAAAATGAAATTGACTTTTTTTCAAGAGTATTCCGAAGGTTGTTAATGGTAAGGAACTCTTAGTTAATATGAATTAAGGAGTTTTTTTTCTTTTTCTCTTTTCTTTTTTACTTCAGGTAATTATAACAACATCAAGTAAATTATGAAATTAATTATGTCTACCTCTATCTGATATCCCATGATCACTCTCATTGGCAAAATTAATATGACGTCAAAAGCTCCGCCCCCATTTTGACCGGGTCAGTCTGGGCAATATTTTTATTTTTCTTAATGCATTTTCTTTGAAACAGGTGCAGTAATTACAAAGTTAAACATAATAATCAAAAACGAAACCAAGAGAAGAAAGAAAATAGAATATTTCACATTTACAATGAATAAAGACAGAGGCGGGGCTTAGCTCGGAAGTTGCCAACTAGGATTTTCAAGAAGACATAGTGGGGCTACCTGTGTTAAAGTACCTTTTTTTATTTTTCGTTTATCCGTATGTTTTATGTTTGTTTGTTTGTTTTTTGAGGGGTGGGGTTTATTAATATCGTCGTGCCTGTGGGGGGCATTTTTGGTTGATGTTTTAGTTGGTTTGTGAATGTTTTGTTTTATTCATTCAATTTTTTTAATATTATCTATATTGATTTTTAATTCTATTTTTATTTTATTTGTTTATTTTTATATATATTTTGGTAGTGATTTAGCTTGATTTGTTTATTGTTTTATTGCTTTTTGAGGTAAGAGGAATTAAT